TGTCCCTAAAATCTTCATTCATGTCCCACTGAAGACCAGCTCCCTTTGTGTGAGCTCTGAATTTTAGCCACCTGAATTTTAGCAGTGTGTTTTGCTGCCTGCAGCATGTAAAGGTATCTCTCTTTCTGCCCAATATGTAAAAATGATGTTTACTTTACCAGCCTGTAGAGTATTTTGGATCAGGGAAAAAACAAAGGGGAAAAAAAAAAGGAAAAAAAATCATAGTTATTTTGGAAAAAAAAAAAAAAAAGAAGAAGAAAACAACAAAACAACATAGAATTTTTACCTTCTTGCCTGAAGAGGTTAAATGAAGAAGACAACAGCTTAGTTCTGGAGCAGGTTCCTGTGAATACTGTATTTAAGAAATCTCCCACTCTCCTGTGGGAAAGTTCAGCCTCTAACCAATGATTGCTGATAGCAGCATCTTGCTGCTCAATGCAAATGCCATTACTATGAGAAAGAAGAATGAGAAACCTATATCTAGCAATACGCTATTAGCATTTCTCTCAAGCTGCCCAACAAGTCTGGCAGGCAATATCTGCTGGCAACATCTCCTGATTGCAATGCCAAGCCACTCTCAGCTGGAAGACTGGTCATTAACCCTAAGAAGACCCTTGACTGCACTGCTGTGCTTAGTCCCTTTCAAATTTTGATGGGGTCTGGCCTGGACAAAGGTGTGTGCAGGGTTCATGCCAAGATTGATTGGAGCTGAGCTTGCTTGCAGAGATAAAGGAAATGAATGGGAAATGCATGAGCTTTATGTTGCCTACAGCCATCTCTCCCTCTCAGGTAAGGAGCTGGCTTTATGTGCGTGGAAGGAGCTTAATTAGAGAAGGGAAGAAATATTTCCTTGAACTGTAACAGGAATCCCCAGCCAGGGGGTATTCTTTTAAATCTTAAATCACTGGAGTTAAGAATAAAAGAAGGCCAGGAGTGGTTGATCACTGAGGTTAGGTCTCCAGCATAAAGCGAGAAGGAAGTAAAGAGATGGGAAGCATGGAGCTGCAATAGCACAGTGTTTGATCTCTAATCAGTACCACTGAACTCAGCTGCAGCACTGGGTTATGGCAGCTGGACTTACAGATCAGAGCTAAACCAGGGTTGTATGTGGCTTTGCAACACCAAAAATGTTATGTCTTTTCTCTCTCACCTCTTCTTTCTTCCTACAAAGCACAAAACTGGCTTTGGATTCATAGGGTACTTATGGGATCAAACACGGTAAGCAGGAAAGAGGAGCAAGGCCCCTAAGCACCATCTTGCCCTACCCACGCTTTCCTTCCAGTGCAGAAGCTGGACCATCCTCTTCTTTAGGCACAGCAGTGTCCAGCTTTGCTGTTCCCCACTCCTCTGCCAAGGTCTCAGCCCAGCTGGCCAATCTCCAGTGCTCCAGTACCCATCTGAAAATAGGAATCCATAAGCAATGGAAGACACAAGGATGAAATAACCATTCTCATTACCTCTGGTTTTTCCTTGCTTTTTTGCTTCCATTTGCCATTCACTTTCTTGTTTTTGTTTTTTTCTTCCTGCATGTTCCTGTAGTGCTCTTTAGTCTTCTTTCTCAGTTCTTTCTTTCTTTATTTTTAAATGTATTTATTTATTTATGAACATTGCCTTACCATGTATCTTCTGATGCTTTTCTAGTCCGTGCGTCTTTTCAGTGACAACCTAAGTATTTTGAGTATCTTGCAAGATTTTCCTTCTTCCAATTTCTGTGTTTTCTCCCTTCCTTCTATATTGACATCATTCCTCTGCTGATTTATTTTGCTTGCTCTGTCATATATTCCCTCAGAGCTTCCCTGGCATCTGCTTAACTGCTTTGCCTTAGGAAATGTCAACATAGGTGCAAATTCTGTGTTTTCTAGACCCTTAGGACAGCATATTCACAAAAATGTACTGCTTTTCCAGTGGGGCCAATTTGTCCTAAGTTGCATTTTTCAAGGCTCAGAATTTCCCCACAAACAACTTTTGCTACCACAAGACATTGAGACGTGTCCCTTCTCAACCAAATGCTGGGAGCCAGGAGCAGGCAGTGACTTTGCAGGTGGGCAAGCGATGAGGTGAGCAGGCACACAGCCCTGCAGCTCGCAACCACCTGCCAAAGCCAGCCACAGCTTGCTGTTTTCCAGGGGCATCATCCGTCACTGGATAGTAATGCCCTGTTGAAAGGTGAGGTGGAGCACCCTGTCAATGTGAGCAAGCCCTCAGCTATGCTCACTCTCTCCGTTGTGACCAACACCTTCCAGCACGTAAGAGCTCCTGCACACAAACTCCCACACGCGTTTTCCCACGTCCTCCCGGGCAATTTCTTGCCCAAGGCCCAGAGGCCAGCAAAGGGTAGAATGAAAATAGTAGACTGTAACATGGTTTCTCCCAGCAGCAGGAGCCTCACAGATACTTATCCCTCACATGCTGCAAGGTGGAAAAGCTTCACACTGGGACTGGCAGAGAGAAGAAGCAGAAGTGAAAAATGACCCTGAGGTTTTCATGAGCAAGCCACCCTCTTCATAAATAACTAATAAGTGGGTTTGCTTTATGTGGGCCAAGACAGCTTTGTATCTCTAACATCTGCTTGCCTTGCACAGGCTGGGATACCTTGGAATTAGTCAGGAGGTGGAGAAAGATGGGCACACCCTGAAGCAGTGTTTCTCTCTGCTTTCATGGGATAACCCTTCCTGGCCAAGCTATCACAAGGAGAAGAATGCTGTCATAAATTTGTGGGGATATGCCAAATGCTCTGATCTAAATGGATCTCTGATTTAAATGGACTACGGCTTCTACTAAATGAAGACTGGCTCCTGAACTGGAAACGAGAAAGCAATGTCTGAGCTTTTCTCCTTTAGGAAATCTCATCCAGGAAGGAAAAGAGGGTTGGGACAGAGGTTTTCATCAGTCTAGCAGACCGGCAGAGCTGTAGCAGTAAGTGTGAAATGGTCTGCTGGAAAACTGGAACCACCTGACAAAGTGTCAGTGCCCAAGCACAAACTGTACAGTCCCTCTTCTCTATGCATGAGCTGCCTGTGCAGCTGCTTAGTCACCAACCCCATGTCCTGATCCAGCTCCTACAGGAGAACCAGTAGAAGCCACAGTGACAACAGCCCTGGATACACCTGATCCCAGCCTCCAGAGCAGACCAGACAATGAAGGGGTGTATCAATCATTACCAGTCTTTCAGGTATCACTGAAGTTGAGCCAGTAAAGATCTTTGCAGCTAAGTCCTTTTCAGATAGGACGGACCCATTGTTGTATTTTTCATTTTTCTGACCACTATCCTTGTGTCAAAACATCTGATGCATACCAGCAAAGACCCACAGAGATCTGTAGTGTCTACACCTCTCATTGTTTTTGATCCAAGTTAGTCTCCTCAGTACCCTCAAAGATACAGGCCAAAGACCCCAGTTAACCCTCTGGCACTAAATTGCATTAGAAGCCATTAAAGGTCCTCCGAGGGAACTGCTGAATTATTGTGACTAAAGGCTTCTCTTGGGTTGTTAAGTTCAAGAATCAAAACAGAACTCCCGTCTCTAAATTCACAATAAGCAATGCTCTGATGTTGAAAGTATGCACATTTTTTGTTGTTGTGTGTTCTCATTTAGAGATCTCTTTCCAGTTTCTTTCAGACCTGAGGCACCAAGAGGATTTCTCAAGTAGAATGCTTCTGTCTTTTGAGGCTACATAATTGAATTCTGCATGTATCCTGACCACCTAAGATAGTCCTGACTGGGAACTATCATCATGTGGCTCAGAAGGGCAATGCAGACTTTCACTTAGCTGCTTTTTTTGTTATTTTGATTTTGTGGCCTAAGTGAATCTGCTTATTTCTGTTCCTGTAATTTACTGAAAGTCAGACGTGAACACTGACGCTATCAATGAACACACAGACTGGCACTAGAGGTATTGTACATTTGACACAGGTTTTATAGTGCTTTATTCTGAACAGTATTTAGGTAAATGAGTACTGAACATATGCAGCAGGCAGTCTTTAGATAGAAATGAAATCTGATTACCATAATCTCTTGTGGAATTTGAAGACTAGTAATTACAATGTTAATTTCAGTCAAGTTGAAGTCCTTATTTCTTTCTCATGCCTTAGACATTGAGTAACTGTAAGGAGTTTCCTTAATGCTGAATCCAGAGCTAGAAATGGCAGATAATCTGTGCATGAGAAGTGTGGCACTTCCAGTATTAATCCAAGTGTGTTCTATCCTTGGTTTGCATAATGTTCTTTTCCTTAGGATACATACAACAAGATTCCTCTTGTCCCATCTTCCATGTCTGAAGGGAATAAGTCAAAAAAGGTCACACAGCAAAGTTCAACCTCCCCAGTATGGGAACTTCATGCTGTAAAGTTTTCTGGGGACACAGAGTGTCCCCATGATTTTTGCCTCTGGTGTCCATAGGCCTTGGTGTGGCTGCTGTTTCACAGATGCAAATCCTGATGCCAGCCTGAACTGTTGTAGCTATGCTGCAGAACTTGTCCACTTCTTCAGTGGATGCTGGCAGGGTCTGGTAGGGCACCCTGGACCACCAGAGTGTGGCCAGGTACTGAGGGAGAGCTATCGTACCACATGTCCACATTTCCCCTTTTAGGCATTAGGAATCCAGAGAGTGCGAGTGACGAGGGAGAGAGGTTTCACTAGGGTGCAGGAATGCAGCTCTTCCTCCTGGAGCCCTTTCCAGCTCCTCAGCTATCTTAAAACAGGCTCTCACTTCATTAGGGGAAAAAAGTGTCACAGAGGAACAAAATGTTCTTGTTGCTGAAGCTGGGATACTTCTCAATAAAATATGGTGTGTTCTTCACAGTGGAAATTATTCCGCTAAAGGGGAGGAAACAAAAGGAGAGAAACTACTTCTGCTGCATATGTAGAGTACATTGTATTACTCAGCCAATATGTGAACCTCTTAGATTTCCTTTCAAAGGTGATAGTCGGGAAGAAAAGCTTTACAGGACTGTGCACCACCACAAATGTAATTGTGCTTTTTTTGTAACAAACATGCCCCGCTTAAGGAGAACAGAATCGGCCTGAAAGGATCACGTTGCGAGTTTTGTTGTGTCTAAACAAAAAGATAAATGGATGGTCAGCTTTAAATTCATCTTTGTGTTGCAGAATCCGATATCCAGGTACCTCTCGGGAGTCGCCACCTTGTTCATTTACTTCCAAGGAGACTTTATGGATGACCCTTGACACAACCACACCTTTTGTCTCACACATCTCAGAGAAATCTGATGCGCTTTCGTTGAAGATATTTGTCATTCCCAGGCTTTCCAGAAGTGGCTTCAGATCATAGTCACCTTCCACACTAAACTTTGGAAGAAATACATTCACTTTGGTGTTGGCCATCATGCTGGGATTCGTCCACTGTAATAATGTCTCAGGGGTCAGTGCCTTTTCCAGCTGAAAACATAAAAGAACAAAGGAAATTAGTGAGCAGTCTGAGGAAAGTGAAAGGAGGGAAAAAAAGACCATCCCTGAACTTCTCACTCCTATCAAACCTCCAAAAAATAAAGTCCAAAGGTAATTTTTGTTTTTAAATTCACAGCCATGGCATTCAGGCTTAACATACTCTCAGTTATATTGATTCAAGTATGATTTAATTCATAGAACAGGCCTCTGGAGCAATTCTGCATGTGCATGCTCTGGCAAGCTTTTGATAAGCAATCACCTTAACAGCCATATGAAGGAACCTGAGGAAGACAGACCCTAACCAGGTTACACCTGGCCAGCTGGCAGAGATCCAAAAGTCTTTATTCCTGACCCTACAGAGTAATGAAATTGCTGGTATTTGGGACACAAAATCCAAATCCAGAGTTTGATCTCAATCAAACATGCAGCTGTTCAAGCATGTTTTTTTAAACTGGAAAGGGAGGAGGCAGAATGTGGAGCCACAACAAATTGATTTCACGAAAGGCCTCACTTGCATTTTATGATAGGTGTGTTCTGTAATTTACTCCAACATATAAAAGCATCTTACTGCAAAGACTCTTCCTGCCTTTAAAATCTGTGGTTAGTTGCAGCAAATTACAAAGGAGACTTAAGTGATCATCAGTCTTCTAATCCTTAAATAACTTTATTATTAATTAATATTAGTAATTACTTAGTTCTTAATAAACTTTGAATAGGGGTGAAAATATGTCGTAAAATTTTCATAGAGAAATGACATATGAAATTGTTGATCTTTAAGAAATGCCATATTAATTTTCACATTTATGTGCAATTGGTAATAAAAAGTGGCTCATTTGCAGGCATCTCTGCTCAAAATCAAAACTTGGAGAAGTGTAAGACCTGAGTAAAATAAATCATGGACACGTGTCAATTGAAAAAAATAAGGATACCAGAAATAAGGGCACCTTCTGCACTTTACACTGTTTTCTGTGCATTCCCTATCTAGAGCAAAGCCTAATGTACAACCTCCCACTGGACACAGTGAAAACAATGATGCCACAAATATGAGAGGAGGAACAGAGAATGAGAATGAGATGGTAAATTCACAGGAAAGTTACTTTTTGTTTCCTTATGCATTGCTTCTAAATAACAAAAACCTTCCATAAACATATGGCATTATATGGGCTGTTTCCAGGAGAAGTATCATGGCAGTTCTATATTTTTCTCTCACCTTCTCCAAGCCAGTGGTCTCGTCTTCAATCTCTTTGGGCAGGAGAATGAGCATGCTTATATGTTTGTTAAGGCATGGGAGCTCAAGGATGGCAACATTTAAATCTTTTACATAACCCAGGCAAAAAGTAGCTTCCAGATTCATCATTTGCACTGGCTTAGTCTCAGTCTGCAAAACATAGAGGAAACAATCTATCATTTGTTTTAATTCACAAATAAGATGGTGACAGGAAAGTTTGTAAGCTTGCATGGAAGCGATACATTGAGTTACCACCAGAGAATTTGTTGGCTTTCACAGGTAATGAAAGCAGCGAGAGTTGGCTTTTTTACAGTAGGCAGCTTTCCAAAGAAAAGTGGAACAGACTTCTACTTAATACAATAGCAATATATGGGGGATGTACCTTAAAAGAGCAATTTATCTAATACTGGTGGCCCTTCATGCCTTTTCACTGAGTACTACCAACTACCACACTGTCTACAGGGCATTGTAGTGCTAGCAAGTGTTAAGCACTGAGCACAGTTTAACAGTGAAGGTCAAGCTGTTCATTCCAATAATTGATATTTTGGTTCAGGAGTTGAAACAGAATCAGAAGAAATTTCAGGCTTACTTAAATCTTTAAGTCTTTGCTTTTGAATTAAATTAAACAGAACAAAACAAAATATCTTGTTTCTTAGGGAAGACTTTAAAACTGTTGTGTCCACATGAAAATGTTCAAAATTCAAATTCAGTAGAAAAATCTTACTTTAGGGGAGAAAAAAATCTTGAGATGTTTTACTTAAAAATTTTAGTGTTGATTGCGTGATTTTAAAAACTTTTTTAGCTGGAACTATTGGCTGATGAGGTAATTTATTAATATTTTCAGTGAACCTGAAACTTCGACTTTGATTTTGCATCTCTATATGTACATCTGTGTATATTTGGAATATAATCCCTTTATCTCACAAATGTTGTGCAGCTTTATATCTTGGCTGTAAGTTTTCTGATTACAATATTCACCACTGGTCACAGACTCCTGAATGCACCAGCCACAGGTGCTGCTCCCACATGGACCTCATGGCTCAGCAGGACTGACATGCAGGAGCTGCAGTCCTGAGCCTGACTGGAAAGAGGGAGACTGATGAGATTACATCTCTGAAGGGCAGGGCCAGGCACCTAGAGGATGTAGTCAAAGAGGTGACACAACTGTACACATTTCACCAGCTCAAGAAATGCAATGTGCTTCACTTCTGCTGGTGTTTGATGCAGCCTCTGGTACCTGCAACCTTCCAATCTCTTGGAAAAAGCTGCCCATGAGAATTTGTATCTCCTTGCAGACAATGGCTGCTTCTGAACACTTGTACTCAGCTCATGTTGTACTCCCAGGACAGTCTGGGACCCTTGCAACACTGGGTAAGATTAGACAGAATCTAAGAATGCCACAGTAATACATATTTCTCAGTTTCTCTTATTGGGATTTCCTTAGCTCAAAGTTTGCATTTTCATGAGAGAAAACAGTACCTTTTATTTTTTTTTTTTTTTTTCCCCAGAACGTACCTTGTTGACTTTAAAAGGACATTCTTTGATCTCTGCCTCTGGGAACTTCTTCATCCAGTTTGTGACAAAATAAGCTGCATTAACTAGAAGGATCTGAGTCTGGTCACTTACACTATCCTCATTCAAAACGTTCTCCATTTTTCCTGTGAACAGATTTAAGGTGGTTGTTATTACAACAATACATTAGCAGTATATCAATTGCTTTAAGTGAATATGGTAGCATTTCACTGAACTAAACACATTCGTGTCCTGCATCTCACAGATAAAAGATTTTCTTTCTAATGGAAAATTACAAAAAGGAGCACTTACTTAAATCTGCAGCTTAATTTTTGATGTGGGGTTTGGGATCAAGGCAGCTCTTCTAAATTATATGTTTTGTTGGTTTATATCGCATGTAATCAAAATTACATCTCCTGCTTTTGTTCAGTACCTTAAAGAAGGTGCTGAGTTGTCAGTGAAATTCAACAGGTTTAAGTGAAAAAACATTTTGTCATTTGGAGAGCAAGACTTGAAGGGAAGCTTCAAATTAGCAGCTACTCTTTTCTAGACTGATACACAAGAATAAAATAACCAGGATAACAAAAACATGCTGCTTTGATTACAGTTAATATCCAAATACTGCTACAGACTTCAAAAGAGGATGTAGATGTCACGACCCACTCTCTGTTTTAGACCTGTTCAAGCACTGCCATAAATGACCCTGAATTCAGAGCACTGGGAAGGCAAGTCCTGTCTTGGAGCTGCACAGGCAGGGCCAGGTGCTTCCCTGTGGCCCCTGTGCCAGCCTGGGAAGGACCAGGCTCGTGCATGGTGTTTCCATATTTGCACCACACGAGGGCCACAGGTGGCCACCAACCCCAGGGCCACCTCTGCCAGGACTTCCACAAGGTGGCAAAGGAGAGACCCACATCTGCTTGTGGCATCCTTGCTGGCAAAAGCAGCTGAGATATTAATTAACAGCCTGAAACTCAGAGTCCAAAAAGTGCTTCCCATTACAATGAAGATTTTAAAGGAATTAGAGGGTTCGATGTTTTGGTTTTACGCGTTGTGATGCTCCACAGCCAGGAACTGCCATTCTCCCAGCCCATCCTGCTGCAGTCAAATGTGAGCAGCTTTCCCCAAGGCTAATGCAAGGTCAGTCTCACATTTCCACCTTGATAAGTGCTGCAGCAGTGAAGTCAGTGCTGCTAATCCTCATGAATCCAAATAGTAGGCCTAGTCTTCTTTCACTATGTATTTACTCCTAAAGAGGTGCCACAAGGATAAAGATCTTTCTCCAAAGAGGCAAACAGCATTCCCAAGGTTAAGTTGTACCCACCATCAGTCAGCTCTGAAAGGGATTTGTTGATCTTTTCTCGGGTTTCCTCAGTTTTTTCTTTGAACTCCACTAATTCCAGTTCAGATGGAAAAGGTCTCTTTGTGGAGTTGACAAAGTCCTGAAAGATACAAGTAACCAGTCATTCTTGGTTAAGTGCCATTGAGTAGTTGAGGAGTTATTATTATTTGAGGAAAGGTATTAAATAACTGCAAGAGACAAGAAGGACATACACCTGCATGCAGCACAGCACTCCCAAGGTCACCTTCAGACCAGTGGTGCTACATCAGCAAAGTAACTCTGATATTGGAGGAGTGACCATGTTGCCAGAGTTTACAGGGTAAAACAACCCTCAGTCCAGGCCTGAGCAAGACTGAGACAGAGGCCACAGTCTGCTCCCATCATGTCTGTCCTCATCAGGGAAGACACTTATTGCTCTGCATCCTGGCCTTGCTGTAGCAGAGGCTGTACTGCAGGTGATCTGAGCACAGCATCACTGCAGCATGTTGAGTTTTCTGAAACACCTCTTTTAGGCTGATGCTGTCCTTGCTTGGGATTCTACTCAGAGACAACTTTTGGGGGAAAAAACCTGACACACACAGCATTCTTGACAGTTTTTCACAAAGTTCATAAGTTAAAAGGCCAAACACCACCTTCTTCACTTGTGTTGCTTCAATAGTCAGGCTTCTGCCTTTTCAGGCAGATTAGGAAAACTGAAGCTTATGCAGTAATTACTTGGGTGTGTGAACTGGACATACACTTGCACCACCAATTTTTTTTATAGTCATTTTCACTCATACTTGCAATGCAAAGTCTTTGATGTGGCATAGAAGTTATGTTGCATTCAAAACCAAACTTGCTACTGACCTAAAGCATATTAACGAAAGACTTAAAAGTGTTGTAAGAGTCGCACAGCTTGGGGTCAAGCAGCAGACTCGCCTATCCTCCTACAAACCTTTATGGCAGGAGACAATATTATGCTGTTTATCATTTGAGTCCAGTCAACCAACAACCAAAAGTACAAAAACTAATTTTAAATAACACTGCAGTCTGACACAATCCATCCACATGATGGCCAAGTAGTTCATAACGCCAGGGTTTTCCTGCTGTACTTACTGTGGTAGGATTGAGAGATTTGTCTACAAAGAGCCTTTTAACCATTTTCAGTGCAAAGAAAGAGCTGAGTTTGGAAACATCTGAAGTTATTGTTTGAAACCCAAAAGAAACATCTTTGACATCTTGTAAATGGAGCACCTGTTAAATGAAAATGATAAAACACTAAGCATCTTTCTTATTATTATTGTCTAAACATTCCTAACAGCTAAGCAAAAAATGTTAGTTTGTGACCAGAGCTGCTGCTTTTTGTATTTAAGCTAATGACAGAGCCTCTCACTGTTGTTACTCAAAAATCATTTATGTATTTGACATGCTCACATAAATCTAAAAACCAGATCCTACCAGAACTTCCACCAAATGCATTTCTTTCCTATGAGCAATCCAAAGAAACCAATGGAGCTGTTCATGCTGCTGATGTACTTAGTCAAGTAAAACTCCATAGCATGGAGTCATAATGTTTTTGTCAAACTTACATTCCCACTCAAAATCCTGAAGCTTTTAAGACAGATACATGAGTGTCCCGGATAATCTGCTTTCTAGAACTGGGCTATACCTTTAAAAATGCTTGACAGATCATCAAGTTTTCTGACTGCTGTGACTAACACATGACATCACATGACATTTCAGCAAAAACTGATCAGATAAAGATAACTGTGTTTGGTTTTGTAGACAGACAATAACCATGGGTAGGGCTGCTGACCCACACATGGCTACCTCCCAACTCCTGGGAACGACAAGTCCAGTTCTAGGAAATACTGGGATAATTATGCCTTTGTTTGAAAATAACCCTATAAATATGAATTCAACTTTTAATGCCTACTTATTACAGGCTCTTTGATGGTGACTGTTTCATTAAAGGAAGCCTGTCCACCCTCCTCACCTGCCTCAAATTGCCTTATGAAGCACAGCAGGCACTTGTGACCTTCTTTTCCTTTTGTACATCACTACTGCCCTTTCTCCCAGAACACATCACATCTTCACAGACAAAATTGCTGCTCTGCCTTAGTCACCCTTCCATATCCTCCCCTCTCCTTGATCAGTGGGAGTAGAAGGAAATAAACTCCCATTACAGCAGCAGCACAGCTGTCATAGCCAACTCCAAGTCCATCTCCTTAGAAACAACTTTCTCAACTTGTTTCCTTTTCCTCCAACAGTTTTACTTCTTTGCATGTCAAGTGCAGAAAGCTTCTGTGCCTGGGAACTAGGTGGAGGAAAAAGCTACTGCCGCTTCTCTACCTGGAAGAAATTTTGGCACAAGTTTCTTGACCCATGTTTCAGAGTACAGCCGCCAATCTGGCTCCTTTTGTATCTAGCATTTAAAACCCAAGCACAAACTCAGGGAAAGGCAGAAGCTAGAACAGACATGGAAAATAGGAGATATTACACTTAAAAGCATACCAAGCTCTCCTTAGCATCTGTAGTCAGCACTTTTTAAATACCACTAGAGAAATATGAAACAGAAGTGTGCTTGTGTAACAGAGCTCCACTTGCGGAGGTGCAGGTTAACTTGTTATTATGGAATGGTTCAAAGCAAATTGCAGACACAAGTGAAAGCAAAATAAGGGCAGGGTAATATTTTTAACTTTCCTACCAGAAAGACAATGCTTGAATTTTGAAACCGTAAGGGAGCTTCAGGGTACCATTTAAATTTCAATTTTAATTCTTTTTTTTTTTTTAATACTGTTTGGGGAAATGTGCAGAGCTTACAAGATCCATCCCTGAAAGTCTTCAGTGCCGGGTTGGGTAGGGTCTGGAGCAACCTGGTCTAGTGGAAGATGTTCCTGCCTGTAGCAAGGAGATTTAAGGTCCCTTCCCACAGAAATCATTCTATGATTCTATCACTTTCATGGACATATTGCTGTGCAGCTCTGTGAACAGCACAAGACTCCCTGTAATCTGTGGCATAAGCAGGGGCACAGAAGGCTGTGCTCAGGGGTACTTTCAGTGAATGAGAAACTACATGGAGGAGTTTCCAAAGGAGGGAAAATACATTCAAATATGTTGAGAGTCTTTCAGAGCCAGGTGATAATCAGCATACAAATGCATGCTTAATTTGCATTTCATGCACCTTTAGGTAACTACAGAAACCGTGGGGACCCTCACTGGGATTAAAAGGATCCAGCTCAATCTCTGCTTACACAGAGGCAGCAGACAAGGCTGGAGGGCTGACTCCCTGCACCACAGGGTGAACTCCAAAAACTGATTGAATCATGACTGCAATGCTGGATCATGATGCTGGAAACCCCTTGAACAACATGAGCTGCTTGAAAGGAGAAACATGGACGCAATTGTGCCCCTTCTACTTTATCCATCTCCTCTTTACAGTATTGTAGGAGAAAGGGGAAAAGTCAGTGACAGGGCTGCTACACATACTTTCTGCTGACAGCAATGGCAAAATAATTTTAAGTTCCATAAAGTTTAAGCATTCTTGAATAATGAAAAAACATTTACCTAGATCTGGACAGTGACTACAGTAAAAAGAGACAAGGCTTTAATGCATCTGTAAGGACCCTGCTATGTCCACTTCCACCTTATACATGCCTGAGAAGATTTGTCTTTAAGACAGAGTTTCACTCTTTTGTTGTGCAAGGCCATGGAGTGTGGAACTATTCAAGAAATTTGGATGGATGATTTGAAGTCTATCTTACAAGGGAACCAGACATCCAGGAGAACTTAACAAGAGTTAACAAGAAACCTACAACAGCCATAGAATTTTGCAGCCACAGAACAGGTTGCTGACAGCTTACCTGTTTAATCTGCTCTGCAGTATCACCTTTCGTAGCCTTATATGCCAGAGCCAGAGATGTTGATGTACACAGTGGGGAAAAAATAATATTGGCTGTTTTGTCCTTCTCACATAGCTTTTTGAACATATCAACTGCAAAGGCAGTGTTTGCTAGCTGCAGAGCGTCCATTGTCATCCTGAAATGGAAAAGAGAAAGGAGAGATGACTCAGGTTGTAATTCTAGTTCCTGCTGTGGTGGGCTGGGTTAGAGCACTGAAAGAAGCTGGCACCAGTATCTGGACTGGGTATCTTGAACTTTCAGGATGAAAGAGGAGAGGAGAGGAGAGGAGAGGAGAGGTTTAGTAATAGCCATCATCTTCAAGTGACAGCGGGCAATGCCACGTGTTATGTAAAACCAGTATTATCAGAAGCACTTGAGAAAATCTGTGTGGTTCAGGGTAACCCACACACTGAGTCAAACTGGATCACATTTGAATTTAATCTGTTTTTAATTGATACTCTTAAAATGTGCCAACTCAGAAGGTAACTCACCTACACTCTGGGATCTCCTGGCTCTCAGACAAGTCTTTAATGGTCTCATAACTTCTCTATCTTACTTCATAGGTAATTGTCCATTAAAGCTTTAGCTTTGGTGCACGTCCCTCCTCTCAGGGTTGATTATCCCTGGCCTTTCTAGAAGTCTCCAGAAAGTTGTCTGGTCCTGTACGTTGAGATTATTTTAGAAACTTAAAGGAGGCCTTCTAAAAAATACCACTGTGTGCCTACCCATCACTTACGCTGTTTTAACTCAAAGATTTTCCTAGCCACTCTCAGTAACTGCAGTTGCCACAGGGCTGTTACATGACCTGTGCAGTCAGGAAAGGCAAGGCACAGTTGCTGCTGTCCATGCTCTGGGAAAGCCAGAGACTATTCCCATCTTCCAGGCTGCTTTCACATACCCGAAGCTGTGCTTTTGTAGAAGCACATTTGTGTAGATTCAAGCCAAGAAGGGTGAACCCCAGCATTTCAGTCAATAGCACAAGTCTGGCTTTAGACCAGCAATCACACAGAAGATGACCCCTCTGGCATAGTGAATTTGACAATAGTAGGTATCCCCCCAAAAAAGGAAACTTAAAACTGGTGCTAAATGGCTCCATCAAAGCTATTGACAGAGACAGAAAGGAAATGGAAATTTTTGCATGTACTATGCTGCCCAAATGTAGCTGAACATCTGACACCATTGTACAGAGACACTCTAGAGCAGCTGTGGTACTTGACAGCAGTAATGACTTCCAAATCATTTGTGGTAGTTATAAATTTTTATAACTATTTTTTGTGGGAGTAACAGAATGGGCATGTAATTGGCCTGCAACACAGTAGAGAAAGAACTTTGATTTACTTGTAAGACCTGTTTGACTACAGAAGACCTTTTACAAAATAAATGTCTTTATTTTTATTTTAATTAACTTATACATGTTCTTGGATCTGTTAGGTAAGGCAATTGTTTTACTTGGCAACTAGTTTGTTTTGGGCTGAAACATGAAGTATAAAAGGTTAGTGAAATGCACTGCATTTAATAAAGTTAAAAAAAAATATATAGTGGCATTAAACCAAGGCTTTTTAAAGTCAGAGTTTGAAAAGCACACCTAACCAGCCCTGCACTCTTGCAAAATCTTCTGACTGTTGGTATTAGCAACAAACTGTTTGCTAACAAATCCCCTCCCACTGGGGGAAGAAAAAAAAAAAAAAAGCAAGAAAAAGAACTTGTCTTGACTGCAAACATTGAACATATTTCACTGGAGAAACTTATCCCCACACGAAAATACAGAGGCATATGCTTTGCAATATCCCAAGGTTTTGTCAGACTCAGAATGGGTCTGGGGTCTGACTGGACTTGTCTCTCTTCCAGTACTCTGGCAGTCTCTGGCAGCTGCTTGGTAAAGAGGAATTTTCCATGAGAGATTCCATTTTACAGCATCAGCAGGCCTTGAGCTGATGTCACCACGAGGTTCAGGAAACGTCTCAGAGATCCAAGCGCCAGCCTAGCACTGCAGCCACCCGCCTTGCTTACGCAGACACCATTCTCAGGCATGAAAGCAACTAATTACCAGAAAAGTTGAGCTTGCCAGCAACCACGGGCTCAGCACACACCTTCAGGGAGGAGAGCTTAGGCAGGACAGTGGCAAAAGACAGAACCAGTCTGAAGGACCGAGAACACTGATGAGGGAGTAACTTGGAATAGCGGGGCAAAGAAGCAAACAGAAAATCATTCCTTTAAATGCCTCCTTGCAATTGCACATCACAAACGTGCTCTTTTGTGCCTAAGCATGTCTTAAATAAATTCCCCTGCATAGGCTACCCACCTTATCTTTGCCGTTAACTCAACCATTCTCACAGGAACAGACAATACACTCCTATACTGTGTCTGTCTGCTTCTCAATCTCTCTCTCTCTCTCTCTGCCCCACCCCACTCCACCCCCCAAAACTGAAGATTTGGGGCAAGTACTAACTTCACAGGTATTTCTTTCTGAGGAACTGGAAAATTACCCAGGGAACCAAGAATGCGTCATTCAGTAAACATCTACCACCCTCAAAAAGACAAATAATACAAAAAAATCTCATGAATCATGCAGTACACCTGAAAAACATTTAATTTGGAGTTTAATTTAATTTTAATGGAGTACATTATTTAGTATTAGCTGGCATGATATTATTCTATTCAGGCCTCTGGGTTTTCCTTACAGGTAAAAATCAATATGAAATCATATCCAGTTAAAAATACACCTTGTTCCTTTCTGGCTTAATGTTGAATTTGAGATGTAAATGCACTACCTGTGTTTCACTTCCTTGGGTTGCAAGACATTCAGAGTAAGAAAACAAAATAGGAAATTTTACATAATTGAATTAAATTCTTCTTCCTTATGCCAGTTAAAAGCTGTACCATGGCTCAAAAACTCCTCTGGCCTCATGAGTAACTCTCATACTATTCATGTTGGATCATTTTTTATAAAGTTTCGATGCTTCTTTTCAGTGAGAAAAACAGGAGGTATTTCATGGTGAACCTTTTATGTACCTTTGTTCATCCAGTAACTGCTGATACTCTCAAAGCTTCTTTGAAGGAGAGTGAAATTGTTTCTGGTAGTGGCAAAGCTCTCCATTCTAATTTCTTCCATTCAATGCTACTATTGAAATAAGGACCATTCAGGGCATTTTGTTGGGGCAAAAAGCTCGGTTGCACCCTTGACCTTGAATTATTGGCTGGATAGCAAATAATCTCTATTCCACCATCTGTTTCAACTGGTCAGTCTGTTTTTTATTCTCCATTTATTAATGACATATTATATTATATTATAGAGCTCACAACATTCATATTACTGAAAAAAATTTAAAGTATTAAATATTAAAAAATCTTAAATCTCTTTAAAGCCTTGAGCACCCCAAGCCTTGCAAGTCCAGTAAAGCCAGTTCCAGCAAGGTGAGAAGGGCTGAGGCTCCCAGTGAGAGGAAAGCCCATTAGCTGCCCATTAACAGTCTCAGAAATCAGACATAGCTCCTGAGTCAGTAATCACAGGGAACCCTCAAACAGGGAGGAGTCAAAAAACTGAAAATGAAATTTTACAAAGGCCTGCTGCATGGATTCTTATTGGGTGCCTCCTTTCTCAGGAAAGCAGACTCTCAGCATTTCCAGAAAGACCCGCAGCACTGGGGCATCTGCTAAGCACTTGGAGAGTGCGATCCACCCAACTTTATTTAAATTTGTGACTGTCACAGCGTGAAAGAAACACTTTCAGATACAGAAGGCAGCTGAAAGGTTACAGAACTAGTTCAGAAAAACCTTATTTAAACTTGTTTATTGATATAAGACCCCATTTTTTCTTAGTCAATCTTGGATTCAACAACAACTGCAAACCCCCACCCCAAAAGAAAAACCAAAACCAGGGAGGCTTTTACTATCTGCTTACTAAGGGAAAATCTAAATATAACTTACATTTAAAAATACAATCACAAGAATAGCAGCATCAGTGTGCAAATGTCTGACAAGTCAAGTTAGTTGTATGGCACGAATAATCTGATAAAGCAGAACCAAGTATTTATTTTATTCTTCTCTTGGTTAAGCAGTCTTTCCAGGAGAAGACACCTGTGGCAGATAAAGCATAGACAATGCTGGCCATCCAGTCCTGGGGGGTATATTTGGTTTATATCTCAGGAGCTGTGAGTGCCAGTGCTGTAGTCTCTCCAGTCCAAAAGAGGATGAATTATATAAAACAACCCACATGCAAATTTTACAAGTGAGGCATTAATATTGAAACTAGATCAAGAGTTTAACATGACCGTACTTCAGCTCTTACTCAGCACACACGATCACAAGAAATAAAAGATTTATCTGAGCCTTTTCTTCTTCTACAGAAATGACAACTCTCCACCTGGCAAATTATCTGGATAAAAAACCAAGGACACAATTTTGTCTGAACAGACATTGTGGAATACAAGATATCAGACTGATGTGGGACCAGAACATCTCATATGGTAGAGGAAAAAGCACTGTCAGCAACAGAGCGGGGAAAGTCACTCCAGGAAAGAAAGAGAAACAAGCCACTGCAATATGCTTTGTTGTACTTCAATAGCCAATGAACTGTTCAAACAAAATGGTCACACTGAAAATAAATTTGTAATTACTAGGCCTAAGCTCCTGTCCTTCACTTTAAACAAGTATGCATTAGTCACTTGGTTAATAACTCGGAGCAAACAGAGCAGAGCGTACACACCTCTGCAGAAAACGAGAGGAATGTTCCTTTCTAACAGGGGTTTACAAACCAAAATCCTACTTTGGTACATGAGGATTTTCATGGCATCACACGCAACCTGCTTTTTCGAATATGGGAATAGCCATTTGCAATAAACCACCATATTTTAATAATTCCTAATGCCTTTGCTGTCTCACCTGCCAGATCTTATTCACTGCTTCCAATGAATCTTTCCAAAAAGAAAGAAACCTAGCATAGCAATTTCAGCAGTTTTGAAATGAAACCAAAACTGTGTCATTTGGGAAGGCAAAAAAGCTTCTTTAATTCCACATGTACATTTTTGGCACAAATTTCCTTATCCCACTCCCTCCATGCAATTATGTTTCATAGCCAAGATTTGTTAACTATTAGCTTAGCATAAATTAAAGTATCAGAGAAAGAAAAAAGCTGT